GTTGAGAAAGAATGAAGGGAATGTACAATGGCCTGTCTTTCAGCAGTATATTCTCTTCCAGGCTAATGCCTTTTCTCTAACAAATGTCATATGCTCAAAACACTTCTCTCTCAATGAAACAACGTTTGATTTAATATAATGTCATCAGTAAATTAATAATTAACTAGATATCTCCTCTCGCAAACCAACAAGACCTTTAAAAATAACCTCACTCCACTAGAAAGGCAAACTTTGGTTTCATCAGCTGTGATTTCTGTGAAATGTTTTTATTGTCCTGTAATTTACTGTTATTATAACAGAATAATAAGATTAGTTAATTTCAATGTGCCTTTTCTTATCAACCTCAAATAAAGGGAGCTCTGTCTTGGACTAGGAGTGTTGATAAAATTGGCCATTTTTTTCAAGTTTGTCATTTGTAATCCGCCTTAATCTTGCTCAGTCCAAGCCATGCTTTTTTACATTCAATTTTTTAGTACTTCTCTAGGCTTTTATACCTTTGAAAACTGTTATTTTGGGGTTGCCTTCCATTTAAAAGTAATTTTATAGCTTTAAAAACACGACAACGCTTTTAAATTTTCGGAACATGTTTTGATGTTTCAAACATAGATGATCGGTATATATAACTACTCCTATACAATGAAACTTTATAAATTCAAATATTCGTTAACTGCTAACTTATTTCAACTAACCAATCAAATCAAAGGAACAAACAAAAACAGCAAAATATAAACTGTAAACTACAGCAGATAAATTTCAAGATGTAACGATAAGCAAACACGCTCAACTTGTTTGTAACACTTGTACTATCAAGACCGTTTGGAAAAGTAATTTTATAGATCAGAAAAGTGAGTCAATATCCGTCGGGGTAAAGCTCCTTCCAGAGAGCTCCGAACATTTTAGAGCCCTGCCTCTTAACGTCTCCAACTAAACTGTCAAGTTTGCGTTTTTCTTTAGAACTGTTTTATTCGTGTGAGTGATATTCCGGGTACACGGAGCATCTTTTAGAGCGGTTTTCAGTTCAGTGTCGTGAAATTAAAGTAATCACTCTAACCAACCACAATGGACACAGCAATCCATTGAACCAATCAAAACTCGAAGTGAATACATGTAACTGACGCAAAGCACGAGAAAACGTGTGCGAACGATTTACGATTCGTTTTGGTTTTACTTCTGATTGGATAAAAAAAAGTCGCGCGAGTTTTTTTAAGCCAGTCCTGTAGCGTAGTTCATGCAAAACCAATCACTTTTCAACTCAAATGAAAACCGCTCTAACAATAGTGGTAAAAGTAAACCCAAAGTAATTACAGAGCTAATCTACATGAAAAGACAAAATGTTCATTTGAGTGCTCGGAATGGCTGAAAATACAGCATATTGTAATACGGTGGATTAGATCCTGATTGACTAAAAATAGAGAAATGCATAGGAAGTACGTAACATAGGCAAAATATTGTCAAAAAACAATTACTGAGCAACACAACAAAACAAACGTACAATTACTTTGAAATTTCATTGAAGAAATAACTTTGAACGACTGTTGTTTACTCGTGAAACTATTCGTAGACCTGTTACTGAAAAAACACTTGCTCTATGGCGAGATTTCACAAACTAGGCTTTTGTCACCTTGCTACGGTAAGCGGCGGCTGTTTTTTTTTTTTTTTTTTCGCTTCAGTAGAAAAAGAAAACCTCTTAGACCTGAGAAGTCAGGATAATAAATGGAAAACCTAATGTAACTCGGCAGTGTAAACCAGCAGGTAATTGAAACTACTAAGATGAGCAAAATAGTCTTGAAGCGGCTAATGTATCCGTGGCCACCACAAGAATTATTTACAGGACGCGGGCCAATAGGACACAGCGTTCCGGCAACTTTGCCCAGAAAGGCATCATTTTGGATCAACAAATAAACAATAACGCTGAAACAGTGAAGAACCAGTGAAGAAAGTCAGCGGGACCGTCGTTCCTCTCTACTGAGGCGTCATACACCTTGTTCTCTCTGTTCTTCATTTGTAGTTTTCTTTGTTGTTTTAATGGCAACTTTCAGGGAGTCAGTAAATTGTGGGTCATCTTCTCTTTCCTTGTTTCGCTTCTCCTCAGTTCGCAACTGATGTCCTCTTGCCCTCCAGAGTCTCCTTTGGATTATTACGTAGAGGCACATGACTTCGAGCTACAATTTCGCACAACCTTGAGTGAAGCTTTTGTTCTAGGTGCTGGTTCCTTGTCGCTGAGGTCTAAGAATTAGTTCAGATACAAAATCAATTGTAAGCAAGAGTTGTAGAAGAACGTATACGTGTACTTCAGTTGTTACAAATTATAGAATTTTAATATTTTTAATCCACAGACGAAGACTGGCTAAATAAGATATGGTAGCATACGCTCTTTATGAATACTGTTTTTCCGGCAGAGGGCGAATATTCTTATTTTTCTGCCGATTTTAGGTTGAAATATTCTTGTGAATATTGTTAGATCATAGCGTATGACATTTCTGTTTACGAATGTATTTGGTGTCTGGATGGTGTTAAAGTAATTTTGGAGCCAGCCTGAAGGCATTGAAGCCTGATATCACACACATAGTTTCTTGTAGAGATGTTATCAGCATCGGACATACGGCTAGAGCTGTTTATGTTGCTTTTTGGTTAGTTTTGCCGTCAAGAGAGAGGAAGAATTTTGTACGGTTTAGATTTTTCAAAATCGCACCCTCGGGTTTATTCTTGAAATATTCTTAAAATTTCGCAAACTTTAGCTTCAATATTGTTATAAAACATATTCTTATAAAAGAGAAAGAGTGTATCTCCTTTTTTTTATTCGATTTAGAGCTCATGGTCAAAAGAAGATTGCGAAAAATACGATATGCAATCGTTTAATTTACAAACCCTGCTCACGTATCACCAAATGCGGATTCATTGAAAATAAATAAGATAGTAATCAAAATTCATTAAAATTTTAATTTCGATTGCGCTAACACTAAAAAAAATACATACGTTACAATTTTTTTTTGTTATAAGAATATTGTTTTTCTGGCCGAGGCTGAATACTCTTTTTATATTTTTCTGCCGATTTAAGGCTGAAAATATTCTTGTGAATATTCTTAGATTAGAGCGAATGACATTTCTGTGTTCGAATGTTAAAGCAATTATGGAGTCAGCCTGCAGGCATCAGTAAAACCTGATATTACGCACTATTAGCATCGAACATACGGCTAGAGCTGTTTTTTCTTTTTTTCCTTTTTTTTTTTTTTCTCCCTCCCTTTTGGCTAGTTTCACCATTCAGAGAAAGGAAGAATTTTATACGTTTTAGTTGAAAACATATAATTGTGTCATATCAAGAGAATATTAACAAATTTTCAACAAAGAAAATTATATTCTTTTCAAAATCAGCCTCGGGTTTATTCTTAAAATATTCTTAAAATTTCGCAAATTTCAGGCTCGATATTCTTAAAAAACCCAGCGTCCATTTTAGTTTTTCTTTAGCATTATACAGCATTCGCATCAATTTACAGTGATAATTACATACATTGTTGAATGTCAGGATCCCGTAAGCTGTCGATGCAGAAGGTTTGTACTGACTGTCTGCACAGGACGGCTAAGTAATCAGTGAATGCTCAACTTACAAATTTCCATCTCGAAGTCTCCATAATATCTGTTTTTCTTAGCCACAAATAAGTTGAGATCCATCGCCAGCGGTTGCTTTGCCGAACACTTGATTTTATTATTTGACCGTTCTGATCATTAAAACTGGCTGATTTCTTACCTGACAAAATACGATAGTTTGATGAAAACTCGCTGGAAACTCAGCAAATTTCAATAAGGCTGCGGCAACACTATAAGCCGGCTGCAGGCAACAGTACTCTCGGCGAACTCAACCGAACAATTCAATCCTTTAAGCTCTAGTATTCTGCGTTTGGTCTTCTTTGTTAAAGGAAAACAAATTGATTTTTATTGGTGTATGTGTAACAGGTATCGCTGTCTCATATCGTTTAAATACAATAGCATACTTACAAAAAAATTCGATTGTCCAGACAACCATTTTCGAGTTTCTTGTCGAACAGTTGAGGAGCAAATTTCCATTTGCTTTCAATATAACGTAGATAGCAACAAATGTAGCAGCAGAACAGAAACTCGGTTAAGATTTTTCTTTGCATTTTAAAAAATGAGAGATATATTTCTTTGGTTTATATGTTGTAAATGGATGTTTTCTTTTTCGCTGAACACTCCCTGGGGGTGTAAACTTGATCCTCAGGCGTACTGCTGTTTGGAGATCTCTAGAACATTAAGATGGAAACAAACAAAGAACTGGGCCGCCTTGACTAGCACTAGCTATCCGAGTAGTAGGATTGTAACAATGACAGTTGACAAACGAAACAAAGATTGCTGTTGTTGTTGAATTTTATGATTCGCTTTGGGAAATAAACGCTAGAGATCATTTTCACGTTTTCAAAGCGTACATTATGGGTCAGTGATTTTCAAGCAATTCTGAGTATGCACGCCGCGTGATGAAAAGAGTCGAGTTACTTGTGATTTCACCATATTAAAGTTACAATCATGATTAATTTGTTCATGAAGTTCCGCCAACCATTTGAGCCTCATTAGAATCTCAGCTCTGATTTGGTGCTGTGAAAGTATGTTAAGAGCAACAGGCAAACATAGATGAATACTTAAAGGGAAGGTTATGGACAGTCTCTGCTTGATATTCAGAACATTTTACTAACGAGCGTAAACCCGGCGTAAAACAGCCACTGTGTTTTAGCGCTCTTGCTTTCTCCTGTACACAAACAAATAAGCTGTACTTTATTTCTTGTCTTCGAACCCTTTAAGGCTGGTTTCCATGGTTGTTTACCATTCTCCCGAAAATTCCGGAAATTTCGGTAAGAATGTAATTGGTAACACTGACAATTTTGACTGGGTCGACTGAAAAATTTTCGAATTAAACGGAACGTCTTGAAAGGTGGTCCAAAATTTCCAACCTAAATATCCAAGTGGAAAATGTGCTTACCATTTGCAATTCTTTTGTACCCCCACCTTTGGAATTATGAGCAGGTTTAACTCGTCCTAGTCTCTTTATGGCCAATACGGACGGAACTTACCATCAGGTATTTTTGCTTACCATTTGCACAACCGTTGATGAAGTGGTTTCTTCATGCAAATGAAAACAACCCATATAATCGCTACCGACAGAAAAAGTTGAGCGATCCTTTATTAATACGACTATCGCTGTCCAAAGCGTAACGATCTAATCTAGAATCGAGATTTCCCACGGCCAAGCGCAAGGGAGATTTCCAACCTCGTTTGCAGGCTCTCTATCCTCTGCCTCCCTTGTTCGGGAAGCAGAGGAGAGAGCCTGGGAACGAGGTTGGATCTCACTTTTCAGTGTCAAACAGAGTAAGATCTGGATACGAGACAAGTTTTTTAGGTCTCGCAGAGTAGGTTCTCCTATACTTAGGCATAAGACAAATTGTAAGTCGGTTCAGCTTAACAATCGGAAGTAAAACCGTTTTGCAGCCTCGCTTTCAATCGTTGGTTACTGGAATAACCAAAGTCAGAGGGTACACCAGAACGTCCTTAGCATTATGAGACTGTATGAGGTCTTTGAGTCCACAGTACTCGTGAAATGAATAGGGACTCTAAGATATGGTACGGCTAGGCTGTAGTACGACGGCGGATAGTGAAGATCACTTCCGGTGACATCATGACGCGCGTACCAGTACGGCTTTCCCGCCGTAGCCTAGCGTTGCTTTCTACGAAGAGAAAGTGCCTGGTTTCACGTACTCTTCACCACGTGAGTATAAGCCTGCTGTTTACTTCTCATTTTAACGCTTTGTTCACTGTTTGAACAGCCTAGTTTGAAGATAAAGTTCTCAATCATAAAAATCAGTTCTAAGATCATTGTTTCTCTGTCATTTGTACAGAAAATTTGAACGATTTTAACACCTACCGCGAGATGATCAATTCAGTCATATTAGTATCGGGCCCGGGGGCGGGGGCACTGCCATATATGAGCTGTATAGGTATGTGCCGCTGTGAAGGGCATGGTTTTGAAGCAGTTTACTCTAGGATAGGGTATATAAATCAGAGCGTTTAGGTCTAGAATAGGGTGTAATTTTTCACAAAACTGACCAGTTGGTTGAAGATTTGATCTAGACTAAGGAAACCAGGAATTGTCACTCAAAAGTATAAAAAAATCAAATCGGCAAGTTTAAATTTACGCAAATCAGCCTCAACAGTGTCGATAGATGGGGGGATTTGGGGAGTTTACTCT